AAACTAATTTTATAAATGAAATTCAATTTATGCTATAACAGAACATTTTTGATTCCATTTAAGTTCAGCGTTAGAGTTTTGAAAGTGAATTGACTTGAAACTAATATACGTTAATATAAACAGGGAACATTAGTGTAGAGTGATACAATGTGACAGCTCATACAAAATATAAACTGTAAAAGAGCCATATTCATTTTAAAATAGTATCTCTCAAATGTTTGGTATTTCAAATTTTATATCGAACCATACGCCTAGAAATTGTGGTCAAGTTTCTTAATTGATATTTATTAACCAAAATAAATATAATCTTTCACAAATATTAAAATGAAAACTATTTGAAGTTAAAGTGTTCCCATATTAATTATAATAATGGTTTGAGTATTGATTAAAATTAAACCTCAATACGTATGTGCAGCAAAGTCTAATGTGTCTTTAAAGTCTATTTGGTCTTTGAAACGTTGGTCACGTCTTGGCTGATTGATGAAAGTAATTTACTGATCAAATGTGACGGGGAGTGATTAAATTGATAACCACAGAGGTGATACATTCAGGTTTAAGCTTTGATGTCAAAATACTTTTTATTAATAGAATAACGTCCAATTTTTATTTTATAATTTGTTTTGCACGTCATTATTATTTTATTGTTTTTAAAATTATTTTTGGGATATTTAATAGAAACCCATATAAAATATTATTAGTTGATAATCGTGTTTGTAAAATTGATAGAGGAGAGTAACCAATGCATGTGATCATAATTTAAAAACACGTAAAGGAAAAATCATCTTAGTTACCTAAATGACCCATTTGTTTATTCTTATAGTTTATAATAGTATTCATTTATAATGGCCATTTTTTGGTAATAAAAGATACAGATATTTTTAAAATTATAACTAGTATGGTACTTGGCACCGGGGAACTGGCATATGAATTAGCTCCATCTTGTCGTGAAGATCGGAAAATACGTCTGCATGGCATTTAGCAATCATCTGAAAAAGAATAATTCAAGTAAGTTTGTAAATAGTTTTAGACACATTGTTCCGCTAATAGACCCTACAATGTTAATAGGAAATAAAATACAAAAATATAAAACAAAATACATGTATTTATTTTACACGAGGTTTTTAGATATTTTTATCTAGCGGTTGACAATTGTGTACAATAATGCTAGGTTACCCCAAATTATTTTTTGTGGATCTGTTTTGAATTAAAACTGTTTTTCTTTGTATCAAAATTACTTTTTCAGAAATTGATCGTAAAAAAATATAGGTTCACTGATACCGCTTGAACTAAGGAACTTTGATATCATTGTATCCAACTTGGAAATTTGTACAACATTAACTGAGTCATAGAATAAAAGTAAGCAAAGTGAAACTTTTAACAGAAAAAAATACATTATCATGCATTATTAGTGTGTCAATTTAATGAGTTTAGAAACACTCTAATTGCATGCAATATTTTTCTATAGTTGTTGCTGTGAGATAACTAAATACCCCCGCCACAGCAAACCTGCAGACTAAGCGAATTTCCATTTGCCTGATTTGATTTTCAATTAAATCTATTCAAATAACATTAGGTATAACGAGCACTTAGGTTTGCTGCCTACAGTGTAATAAAGTGTGTTAAAAAAAAAACACATATTTTATAGTAAAATATTAATATCTTAGTATAACATAAATAGATTGGGCAAGTTTGATCCAAATATATGCATAAACAAGCAAACTACAACAGTTTACTTATTCTCCATAAGAATAACATGGAAATTTTTAATTTACAATTTTCCCCATAACCAATAACCATACAAAACCCCCGCCGCAGCAAACCTGCAGACTAAGTGAATTTCCATTTGACTGATTGGATTTACACTGAAATGTCTACTTAAAAATATAACATTTATTCCCTATTTAAATAGAATTAGTTTAACAAGTACTTAGGTTTGCTGCATCAGGGAGGGTAAAACTGTTTTTTTTGTAAAATGTTAATAGTTAGTAAGAAATAAAAATATTTTCCAAATTTGATCAAAATATGTTCATAAACAAGCAAACTACAACAGTTTACTTATTCTCCATAAGAATAACATGGGAATTTTAAATTTACAATTTTTTGGAATTTTCTCCGTAACCATTAGGCGCATAATAACGCTTCAATATACTAAATTATTTGTTTTTGTAAGCTCTACATAATGGTTTGGAAAGAAATTGCTAAATTTTATGTTTTTTTGGGTCAAAAATGGGAAAAACCTATTTTTACCCCATAAAACCCCCCGTAAACCCCCGTTCCCATGGTCCGATCATGCTGGATCGCGAACTCGTTCGAATAAATGTAGGTTTACACGTTTGTACCAAATTTCATCAAAATCGGATCATTTTTGCTCGAGTTATCGTGCTGACGGACACACATATATATTATATATATATATATATATATATTTATATATATATATATATATATACATATATATATGAATTTGAACGGATGGTGTTTTTGGCCTCTAGGGACCTCAAAACGAAAAAAAAAATCGGTCCCCTCCCTATATGGGAAATTCGCTAAAATCATACTAATATAAAAATGTAAAAGTTTGTGTGTTTGTTTATTTTAAATTAAATCTTGCATTAACTACTGGTCGAATTGGGCTGAAATTTGGCATGATGTTAGCTGACATTTCCAATTAACATATAGACATATGTTTATCTCAAAAACCTTCCATGCTCCGCACCAGTGACTCTACAGTTTTTCATGTTAACTTGATGGGTATCCACATTTAAAAGGATTTATGCCTCAATAATTTTGCGAGTTGATCGAACTAAACAAGTTGGTTCGTTACCAGCTATCATCCTCTTGAATTTTTTTACAGCTAATTTGAAGTAAGCAACAACAAAACCCAGTGTTACACAGTCAAAGTAGGATAGTGTCAAAATAGGATAGTGTCAAAGTAGGATAGTTTACAGTTGTGTTTATGTTTTTAATTTTAAAACAATTTGTGATATTGTGCTGATGTTTGATATTATACATTTTATGTTTAAGTGTAGTGGTAGAACAGTATGACTATGGTATATGTGTAACTTAAAAAGGAACTTAAATTAAGCATTTTATATTTATACGCCAATCCTGTACGAAGAACGGGATCCCTGCTAGTAAAAAATAAACCAAATAAAAAAAACATTACAATATTCTGCAACTGCGCCATACAAATAAACAACAAGTCAACAACTGTTTAAAGTTGAACCCACACTTTACTCAAAAAATAAGGCCTGTGCCTATTAAATATATATATATATATATACATATATATTAGGTTTTGTATATTTTTACTTCTATGCCTTAATTTGTATTTTTAATGTTTTGAGATAAGATCCTGTAGTGACGAGTTAATGTAATACAAAAAAAGAAATCAAACAAAACTTTCAATTGAAAAACACAGCTACTCTATCACTAGGGAATTTCCCTATTCATTGGGACTACTGTAACACTCTGTATTGCAACAGTCCAACCATAACTTGTTGTTTTGTTGTACAAGGAACGTAATCTCGTCCATGTAACCCTGCTTTGCCGAACTGTCCACAAGATACACGGCACAATCTTACTTGTCGAAGACGAACTGAGATTTATTGTAGCGATTTGTTTATACACCACGTCCAATTGTCTTGTTTCCTAGATGTTGCTTTAAGTCCATAGACGATAGGTCATTACTGTATAACGGTTCTTGAAATAATTCAGCTTAGGTTTATACAAAAGTATGATAAGGGTAATGTTATGTATTATTCTCTGTTTGCAACACCAGGTACTTTTCTGTAAGTAAGTGAATTCGATTCAGGATTTTTTTTAACACCTCGCCAATACTCCAACAGAAGTTATCGTGCTCGCAAGTCAATTCACAGGTTGACAAACCTTTGATGGTTCAAAAATAGAACAAGCGGCCTTGATCATAAAGGTTTTAATTTTTGGTTCTGGCTGGTAAAATTGCTGGTCTTAGCCAGTATACAGCTTGCTAAAAGCATCTCAATCCATTCTATAAATTGATTTTTTACTCATATATATTTTTTAAAGATTCTAATCCACGGTTTCATATTAAAAATGTATTTAGTTTTCATCCGCAGTACTATAAAGTTAAATACACTATCAGAAAGAGAAACAATATTTAACTCTCGAAAACAACAAACTAATGATATAAATGAAATTCAATTTATGCTATAACAGAACATTTGGATTCCATTTAAGTTCAGCGTTAGAGTTTTGAAACCGTTACAAAATGGAAAGATATGGTTATTTTTAATGTGAATTGACTTGAAACTAATATACGTTCATAAAAACAGGGAACATTAGTGTCGAGTGATACAATATGACAGCTACATAATAAAAACGGTGAAAAAGCCATATTAATTTTAAAATAGTATCTCTAAAATGTTTGGTATTTCAAGTTTTATATCGAATCATACACCTAGAAATTGTGGTAAAGTTTCTTAATTGATATTTATTAACCAAAATAGATATAATCTTTCACAAATATTAAGATGAAAACTATTTGAAGTTAAAGTTCTTGTTCCCATATTAATTATAATAATGGTTTAAGTAAGTATTGATTAAAATTTAACCTCAATACGTAGTATGTGCAGCAAAGTCTATTGTGTCTTTAATGTCTATTTGGTCTTTGAAACGTTGGTAGCCTACGTCTTGGCTGATTGATGAAAGTAATTTACTGATCAAATGTGACGGGGATTGATTAAATAGATTACTACAGCGGTGATACATTCAGCTTTAAGCTTTGATGTCAAAATACTTTTAAATAATCGAATAACGTCCAATTTTTATTTTATAATTTGTTTTGCATGTCATTATTTTTTTATGTTTTTAATTTATTTTTGGGATATTTAATAGAAACCCATGTAAAATATTATATGTTGATAATCGTGTTTGTAAAATTGATAGAGGAGAGTAACCAATGCATGTGATCATAATTTAAGAACACGTAAAGGAAAAATCATCTTAGTTACCTAAATGACCCATTTGTTTATTCTTATAGTTTATAATAGTAATTTTTTATAATGACAATTTTTTTGGTAATAGAAGATACAGATATTTTTTAAATTAAAACTAGTGTGGTACTTGGCACTGGGGAACTGGCATATAAATTAGCTCCATCTTGTCGTGAAGATCGGAAAATACGTCTGCATGGCATTTAGCAATCATCTGAAAAAGAATAGTTCAAGTAAGATTGTAAATTGTTTTAGACACATGGTTCCGCTAATAAACCCTACAATAATAATAGCAAATAAATTACAAAAATATAAAAGAAATACATGTATTTTACACGAGGATTTTAGATTTTTTTTTGCGGTTGACAAATTATTGTATGTAGATCTGTTTTAAATTAAAACAGTTATTCTTTGTATCAAAATTACTTTTTCAGAAATTTATCGTAAAAAAACTATAGGTTCACTGATATCGCTTGAACTAAGGAACTTTGATATCACTTGGAAATTCGTACAACATTAACTGAGTCATAGAATATTGAATCTGAAAATTTGCGAACCATAATTTCGCAAACTATTATGATCTCATTAAGGTAAACTGACAGAATAAAACCACAAGGAACACATAACTGAGCTACCAATGCTATTTAAAAAACTATTAGATTTTGATAAAACATTAAATGGAGAGCTTAGACTAAATTATTTTCATGTGCCATCAATGAATATGAATTTAACCTTTTCAAAAATGGATGATGTTTTCCAATATGGCATCTAACTTTAAGTTATTATAGCAACACTCGTACTTTATGATGGTTTTAGAACGCAGATGCCATTTAAAAACTTGAATCAGTAGAATTTAAACTTTTTTATGTCATAAGAAAATAATTTAATAAGTTTTCCATTTAATGTTTTCACAAATAAAAGATTGTTTCTGAAATATAACTACTGGATCAGTTAAGTTCTTAACCCTGTACAATATAACTTCTTTGGTCAGGCCAAAGTGTATAGTTTGTTTCATGCAATTAGTATGCATTTGTGTTTGAATCCCTACACACTAGGTATATATGTCCTTGATTAATTTAGTAACATTTATTTGCTTACCTTGCCATTTGAAATGAGATTGTAATCCAAATAAACAACATTTCCGGCAACAATCTTAAACATAAGGAGCAAAAATTATGGATTACTTGAAACAAATATTTTTACAGAGTGTAAGCTATTCAATAGAAATAATATAATATGGGTTAGTTAAACTGAATGACGAAAATAGTAGGTTGTGGAAAGTAGCAAAAACTTGGCATATACAAATTGTATTCTATATACGGGCAAAAATAATATGCCTAAATGATAAAAAAATAATAATAATTAATGTGGAAATAATATTAATAATAAATGGTATAAAAATAATATGAACTAAGCTATTTATATTTTACTAAAAAACACTTCATTACACTGCAAGTAATCTTATCATTAGGGTCATGTTTTTTATGGATAATGCTTGTTTTACATAGCAGTAAACCTAGGTACTTGTTACACGTAATGTTATTCAAATAGATTTAACTGAAAATCTAATCGGGCAAACGGAAATTTGCTTAGTCTGCAGGTTTGCAGTGGCGGGGGTATTTTTTCTGATAGTTCTGATTAAACAATAACAAAGAAACACTTTCTGATTTCTTCAACATTAGAAAACACAACAAAAAGCCATAAAACTATTTGCTTATTGTAAATCTGATTTTATAACTTCCAAGGATCATATAAATAGTTTTAAAATATTTACCTGTCTCATTGCTTTTTTTACGAATATCTCAACGTTCTCTAGATGATCATCTCTGTTGTGCAGTTTTACAAGAAATTCTTTTGCCTGAATAACTTTAGGATCGTCTAAACCAACAGGAAAAAGTCCTCCACCATTCGACCTCTCCGTCTCCGTCGCTGCTTCGGACACTGCCTAAAGTAATAAATAAAAATATCTATACCCATATCTCTACAATGTGATTTTTGTGTATTAACCATAAGTGACAGTGATTGACCATTAGGAAGGGTGCCATTATAATTACGCTTTTATGTGTTTGAGGAAAGAAATATAAAGTTATACATAAACATAGCCAAGTTGTACTTAAATGCAGCCAATTTGGTAGAAAAGTTAAACAAAACAACAATATTTTACAAAAGAAGTTTACCCCAAATGTGATCACAAAAAGGACAATCAATTGAGCCTCCATATGTAAGGGTTATCGAACTGGTCGTTGAACACCTGAAAAAAATATACGAGTTAAGTTTTAATCACTTATGGGAGTTGAGTGAAAACCAAACGGAAACATCAACACAGGGACATTCTGTAATTTCTGCTGCTGGGTTTGAAGCTTGTAAGAAGTCGTACTATTGTTGTCATCTTCTTCCTCGTGACAACTAAATCTACATAAAATATATTCAATTAGCACTGCCGAGTAAAATATATACTAAACTACTAAGGAAATAGGTTTTCCAATTCTAGTTTTGAGGGATTTGTATTAGAAAGAACACCACCATACTTACCTAGAACTGCATCTGGGGTGAATGTAGAAAATTGAATTGTTTTATACCCAAGCTCTCATTTTACTGCTGATTAACAGCCATAAATGAAATAAACCGTTGATAATTTAAGATTGTACACATCAAGATATTTCCATAATCAAATTTATCAATTAAAGAGCAAGTTTTATTGCAAGTGTTTTATTATCTCATTGTTCTTCATATCGCTTGAAATGTTTTCATAGGTTTTGCCTATAAACTAGTTAATCCGTTAATAGTGTTTTGGTTTAAAGTGTTTCTGTGGTTATCGACTTAAATCTCATATTTCCTCCAAGAGGTTTCGAAGAATAGTTGGGTAAATAAAAAAAGGGAAATTTAATTTAATTTTGGGCTATTTCTTTCCTTTGCTATTTATTCGGAACCATTTTCACCAATGGAACCTTATAGGCCATCAATAATCGAACTGTTACAAAACATTTTTATAATTGGCTACGTAATGATTGGTTACGGAGTCAAAAACAATTATTCTCATGATATAATTAGCAACCTCTATATAATATTAAGGTCACTTATAATGACTCTTATCTTATCTCTCACTCTCTTACCTCTCACTTTTAATGGTCACTTATAATCACTTAAGCAACATGATGGCGAGATTTTTCTCCCTATATCGCAGGTTTGAAGATTCATCTCAGTATTAAGAAATTCAATTTGGTAGAAAGAATGTATCACGCAACCCTACTTTGCCAAGCCTCTACCTCTTTGCCAAGCGATTTTGAAAAAAAAAATATTTGTTCAAACAAGTAAGCAAAGTGAAACTTTTAACAGAAAAAATACATTATCATGCATTATTAGTGTGTCAATTTAATGAGTTTAGAAACACTCTAATTGCATGCAATATTTTTCTATAGTTGTTGCTGTGAGATAACTAAACACCCCCGCCACAGCAAACCTGCAGACTAAGCGAATTTCCATTTGCCTGATTTGATTTTCAATTAAATCTATTCAAATAACATTAGGTATAACGAGCACTTAGGTTTGCTGCCTACAGTGTAATAAAGTGTGTTAAAAAAAACACATATTTTATAGTAAAATATTAATAGCTTAGTATAAAATAAATAGATTGGACAAGTTTGATCCAAATATATGCATAAACAAGCAAACTACAACAGTTTACTTATTCTCCATAAGAATAACATGGAAATTTTTAATTTACAATTTTCCCCATAACCAATAACCATACAAAACCCCCGCCGCAGCAAACCTGCAGACTAAGTGAATTTCCATTTGACTGATTGGATTTACACTGAAATGTCTACTTAAAAATATAACATTTATTCCCTATTTAAATAGAATTAGTTTAACAAGTACTTAGGTTTGCTGCATCAGGGAGGGTAAAACTGTTTTTGTTTTTTTTTGTAAAATGTTAATAGTTAGTAAGAAATAAAAATATTTTCCAAATTTGATCAAAATATGTTCATAAACAAGCAAACTACAACAGTTTACTTATTCTCCATAAGAATAACATGGGAATTTTAAATTTACAATTTTTTGGAATTTTCTCCGTAACCATTAGGCGCATAATAACGCTTCAATATACTAAATTATTTGTTTTTGTAAGCTCTACATAATGGTTTGGAAAGAAATTGCTAAATTTTATGTTTTTTGGGTCAAAAATGGGAAAAACCTATTTTTACCCCATAAAACCCCCCGTAAACCCCCGTTCCCATGGTCCGATCATGCTGGATCGCGAACTCGTTCGAATAAATGTAGGTTTACACGTTTGTACCAAATTTCATCAAAATCGGATCATTTTTGCTCGAGTAATCGTGCTGACGGACACACACATATATATATATATATATACATATGAATTTGAACGGATGGTGTTTTTGGCCTCTAGGGACCTCAAAACGAAAAAAAAAATCGGTCCCCTCCCTATATGGGAAATTCGCTAAAATCATACTAATATTATAAAAATGTAAAAGTTTGTGTGTTTGTTTATTTTAAATTAAATCTTGCATTAACTACTGGTCGAATTGGGCTGAAATTTGGCATGATGTTAGCTGACATTTCCAATTAACATATAGACATATGTTTATCTCAAAAACCTTCCATGCTCCGCACCAGTGACTCTACAGTTTTTCATGTTAACCTGATGGGTATCCACATTTAAAAGGATTTATGCCTCAATAATTTTGCGAGTTGATCGAACTAAACAAGTTGGTTCGTTACCAGCTATCATCCTCTTGAATTTTTTTACAGCTAATTTGAAGTAAGCAACAACAAAACCCAGTGTTACACAGTCAAAGTAGGATAGTGTCAAAATAGGATAGTGTCAAAGTAGGATAGTTTACAGTTGTGTTTATGTTTTTAATTTTAAAACAATTTGTGATATTGTGCTGATGTTTGATATTATACATTTTATGTTTAAGTGTAGTGGTAGAACAGTATGACTATGGTATATGTGTAACTTAAAAAGGAACTTAAATTAAGCATTTTATATTTATACGCCAATCCTGTACGAAGAACGGGATCCCTGCTAGTAAAAAATTAACCAAATAAAAAAACATCACATTAATCTGCAGCTGCGCCATTCAAATAAACAACAAGTCAACAACTGTTTAAAGTTGAACCCACACTTTACTTAAAAAATAAGGCCTGGGCCTATAAAAAAAAAATATATATATATATATATAGGTTTTGTATATGTTTACATCCATGCCTTAATTTGTATTTTTAAAGGTTTTGAGATAAGATCCTGCAGTGACGAGTTAATGTAAGACAAAAAAAGAAATCAAACGAAACTTTCAATTGAAAACACAGCTACTCTATCACTAGGGAATTTCCGTACTCATTGAGATTACTGTTGTATTGCAACAGTCAAACCATAACTACTTGTTGTTTTGTAGTACAAGGGTCGCAATCTTGTTCATGTAACCCTGCTTTGCCGAACTGTTCACAAGATACACGGCACAATCTTACTTGTCCAAGACAAACTGAGATTTATTGAAGCGATTTGTTTCCACACCACGTCCACTTTTCTTGTTTCCTAGATGCTCCTTTAACTCCATGGACGAAACGTCATTACTGTATAACGATTCTTGAAATAGTTCAGCTTAGGTTTATACAAAAGTATAATAAGGACAATGTGATGTATTATTCTCCGTATGCAACCATTACTAGGGACTTATTTTAAGTAAATAAATTCGATTCAGGAACATTTTTGTTGTACAAACACCTCGCCAACACTCCAACACAAGTTATCGTGCTCGCAAGTCAATTCACAGGTTGACAAACCTTTGATGGTTCAAAAATAGAACAAGCGGCCTTGATCATAAAGGTTTTAATTTTTGGTTCTGGCTGATAAAATTGCTGGTCTTAGCCACTATACAACCTGCAAAAAGCATCTCAATCCATTCTATAAATTGATTTTTTACTCATATATATTTTAAAAAAATCTAATCCACGGTTTCATATTAAAAATGTATTTAGTTTTCATCCGCAGTACTATAAAGTTAAATACACTATCCGAAAGAGAAACAACATTTAACTCTCGAAAACAACAAACTAATGATATAAATGAAATTCAATTAATGCTATAACAGAAATTTTTTAATCCATTTAAGTTCAGCGTAAGAGTTTTGAAACCGTTATAAAATGGAAAGATATGGTTATTTTTACTGTGAATTGACTTGAAACTAATATACGTTCATATAAACAGAGAAACATTAGTGTCGAGTGATACAATATGACAGCTCATACACAATAAAAACGGTAAAAAAGCCATATTCATTTTAAAATAGTATCTCTAAAATGTTTGGTATTTCAAGTTTTATATCGAATCATACACCTAGAAATTGTGGTCAAGTTTCTTAATTGATATTTATTAACCAAAATAAATATAATCTTTCACAAATATTAAGATGAAAACTATTTGAAGTTAAAGTTCTTGTTCCCATATTAATTATAATAATGGTTTAAGTAAGTATTGATTGAAATTTAACCTCAATACGTAGTTTGTGCAGCAAAGTCTAATGTGTCTTTAATGTCTATTAAGGTCTTTGAAACGTTTGGTCACGTCTTGACTGATTGATGAAGGTAATTTACTGATAACATGTGACGGGGAGTGATTAAATAGATTACTACAGCGGTGATACATTCAGCTTTAAGCTTTGGTGTCAAAATACTTTTTAGTAATAGAAAAGCGTCCACTTTTTATTTTATAATATGTTTTGCATGTCATTATATTTTCTTTTAAATTATTTTTAGGATATTATAGAAACCCATGTAAAATATTATATGTTGATAATCGTGTTTGTAAAATTGATAGAGGAGAGTAACCAATGCATGTGATCATAATTTAGAAACACGTAAAGGAAAACTCATCTTAGTCACCTATATGACCCATTTGTTTATTCTTATAGTTTATAATAGTACTAGTTTATAATGACAATTTTTTGGTAATAGCTTATATAGATATATTTGAAATTATAACTAGTAGAATGGTTTTTGGCATACGAATTCGTCAATATTAACTAGTGACATCTTGTTATGAAGATTGAAAAATATATCTGCATGGCAATCAGCAATCCTCTGAAAAAGAATAAATAAAGTTAATTTGTAAATTGTTTTAGACACATCGATCCACTCATAGACCCTACAATGTTAAGAGGAAATCAAATACAAAATACACGTATTTTTAACGGGGCTTTTAGGTTTTTTTATTTAGTGGTTGACAATTGAGTACCTTGACTCTAGGTTACCCCGAATTATTGTTTTGGGATCTGTTTTG